TGACAGGGGTGGGGGGAGATGCTGGGGGGCAAGGAGCAGTGGTGGGGAGGGAAAAAGTGGACCCCGGCTGATGTGGTGGTGGGGAGAGGGGAGGAGTGGGCCCGGGTCCGAAGCGGGGTGAGGGAGGAAGAGCGGGCCTGAGGGGTGGGGAGAACCTGACCCACCACAGTGGTGGGGGACAAGCAGCTAGCCCAGCCTGACGTGGCAGCAGTGATGGGTGGGGAGGAAGGGGAGGGGACCTCCTCCCTGCCCTTGCGCCTGGGCCCACTTGTCCCCCCCACCTAACCCGTGTCGGCCCCGAGTCTGCTCCTATGCCCCTGCTGCCTTTGTGTTGGCCCGGGCTCACTGCTTCCCTCCTTCCCTCACCCCCCATGGTGAGCCGGCTTCTCCCCACCCTCAAACCCAGTCCTCCCCCACACTCCCTGCATCGGGCCCGGGCCCGCTCTTCCCCTTCCCCCACCAGTTTAGCAGAGAAGAGGGGAGTGGGCCTGGACCCCAAGCAGCAGGAGGGAAGGGGGAGCGGGCCCAGGTGGGGGTGGTCATGGGGCTCCATCCCTGTCCACTCACTCCCCCCTGTCATTCTTGACGGGCAATTGGCTAATATATCTATATATTATGGCTGTGCAAAGTTTTGGTCGCTAATTCAACAGAGATTCAGCCCAATTTGGCAGCTGAATCTCTGAATCTGAATAGACTCAGGAGACCCACTAATCTCTCCTGTGGGACACTCCATTTACCCCACCATCTCAGCATTTGCGAGCCGTGCCTCGTACCTCCAGGTATGTAGAAAAATCATTTAAAGCTGTGTCTATGGCTGAATCGCTTATTCTCTGAATCAGAATCGAACCTTCAGATTCAGATTTGGCCGAATAGAATTGGGACAGTGATCCGAATCAATTAATTGAATCGCTGTCCCCTGAATCGGTCCAAATCTGAATCCAAATCCAAATAGCTAGCTTCACACAGCCCTGCTATATCTATCTATCTATTCATAGATTCATAGATTGTCAGGGGCTGGAAGGGACCCTGTAGATCACCAGGTCTAGTCCCCCTGTACTAGGCAGGAAAAGACATCTGGGGTCAAGTGATATATATCTATATATAAATTTATTTATTTATTCATTTATTTATTTTTGAAGAATGGGGTAGGTTCCCCACAGTATGTTTTACTACTCTGGGTCATTTGTTTGAAGGCTTAGTTCATTCTGATCCACCTTAAACTCCTGCAGAGCCAGCTTCCATGACTGAGTACATGCTGCTTCTGGCAGCAGTTTAACAGCTTTGTGTCTTTGATGAGCTCTCCTTGTATGTGGACCTAAGACATGATGTTTTCTTTCCCTTTGTAGATTCGGGAAGACAAGACTTGTCTCCTGGTTGAGAAAATATGGTAGCTCCTCTGCTTTTTTCAGCCCTTCAAAAGACACTCCAAGATTCTGCCCTGCCTTCAGGCCTACCAACCTTTCTTTGATCTTGCCTCTAAAGGCATAATGTTTTAAATCATCCCAAAAACCTCTAGGCAGCTCAGAATGGACACCAAAGGTATGTCCAGACCAAAGGCACATGCGGTACGTGGTGCCACAGACCTGTTTGTGACGCTGCACGTTGCTCCTCAAGGAGACGATCCTCCAAGCCCAAAGAAAGGTAATCCCAATGAGGATCAAAGGGAGCAGAAGGGCACATAAGCCCCCATGGCTCACCAAAAGCATCCGGGAATGTGTCCTTGCTAAAAAGGTGGCTTACACCCAATGGAAAGAAGGGGTCATCACCAAGAAGGGCTATTCTGCAGTTGCTCGGGGATGTAGGGGGGTAGTTAGGAAGGCCAAGGCAGAGATGGAACTGGGACTAGCTTCCCAGATTAAGGACAATAAGAAGTCTTTTTTTAAATACATAGGGGGTAAAAAGAAGGTCCCAGGTAATGTGGGGCCCTT